TCATAAAACATACAGATCCTACCTACAGTAATACAAAAAGGATCACTCTTCATAAAACATACAGATCCTACCTACAGTAATACAAAAAGGATCACTCTTCATAAAACATACAGATCCTACCTACAGTAATACAAAAAGGATCACTCTTCATAAAACATACAGATCCTACCTACAGTAATACAAAAAGGATCACTCTTCATAAAACATACAGATCCTACCTACAGTAATACAAAAAGGATCACTCTTCATAAAACATACAGATCCTACCTACAGTAATACAAAAAGGATCACTCTTCATAAAACATACAGATCCTACCTACAGTAATACAAAAAGGATCACTCTTCATAAAACATACAGATCCTACCTACAGTAATACAAAAAGGATCACTCTTCATAAAACATACAGATCCTACCTACAGTAATACAAAAAGGATCACTCTTCATAAAACATACAGATCCTACCTACAGTAATACAAAAAGGATCACTCTTCATAAAACATCAAAAGCTTATGTTGTACAATGATGTAGTCTTACAATGTATTGCCGTGCAACATTTTTTGTTTATAGATGATAATTTACGAGTTTAAATAATAATAATAATAATAATAATAGACTTTATTTAAATTCGATANAAAACTTAAATAGAATAAGGACATGTTTCAAACTCAAAAATTAGTGTTTCGTTTATGTTGTTGTGTTTGAGAGGACTATGCCTTCCTTTATGGATAAAGGGAATAAACTCAGATTATTGAACAATTTGTATTAATACAAATTTCGAAGTTTATTATAAAATATAGATGCCAGTAGGATTTGTTCATTTGAGGTGCAATGTAATGCAGAGATTCAAGTCTTAGTCCGTTTTGGGGACTGGCATATGCAGAATTCAGAACCCCTTATTGGTGATGTCAGAGCGTTTAAAAAATATTTCATAGTGGATTTTTAGATCACCTGAGCTTTGCTCAAGTGACCTATTCTAATCCCTTTCCGTCCGTCGTCGTGCGTAAACATTTTACATTTTCAACTTCTTCTGATCAACAACCAGTGGATTGATTTTCCTACCCGAACCCCTGGGGCCAGGGCGGGGCCTCAAAGGGAAAATTAACAAATATTTCAAAAATCTTCTTCTCCAGTCTCAGTGGTACTACAGTCATTTTCTCTGCATGGGAAGGAAATCATCAGGGGCTTTATTTAAATCGTAAATTTCAGGAGCCCCGAGCTATCCGTTCTCCCTTGGGGAGAGGGTAAAGTTTACTATAGTTTATATAGGGAAATAACACTTTTGGGTATTTTTTATCCATTTTCAGCAGAAATTACTCAAACTTAGTCAGAGTCATCTTTGGTGTATGAGAGTATTACTTTGTAAAATTGGGATTCCTGCCCCATCCCCAGGGGCTAGGACGGGACCCCAAAGGGAACATTTACCAATATTTTCAAATTATTATTCTTTGATAACATGACAAGTATTGTATTTCACTTGGTTTACATGCTGATTCCCACATCACATCTAAACAATAAAATAAGCTACCAGTACTTATAATATAACTCAGGTGATCGCTAAGGCCCTTGGGCCTCTTGTTATTTTGTTTGAAAGAACACCTCTTAATATTCCTTTGAGATACATATATTCCAATTAACGAATACTGTTCATCCTCTAAAATTCCAATGAAACTTTACACGTAAAATCATGGTTTAGTAATCCATTTTAGGTGCTTTCACCTTATAGATAAATCTAGACTACATAGTATATATAGCTAAATAACAGACAATGAAGAAATATAATATGCATGCATGTATCAGTATTCCCTGTTACATATTCCCTAGGAATGTCAACAGAAAGTAGTTCAGTAACGACAGGTCATTATATCTGTTTATCAGACCCAATTTGGGTTATATTAGCTATAAGGACTGAGGTCAGGATATACATGTAGGTGAAGGGCCAATTTGGGGTCTGATATGAAAATTGTCAAATTACAGCATTAAATCTTTACACTCATGAAATTTCATGTTGTGGTCTTGGGCACAAATTTAAGTGAACAACTAATACTACTTCTGAGGATCTCATCTACTACAACTTTGGTTTGATATCTTTTCTGTGTATTTCCTTTGAGTATAAAATTTAACTTCTTGATTCTGTTAGAGATTCCATTCTGCTTTTCTATCCAGCTTTTCTGCAGATGATCAAAACAAAACATTTCAAGGCACACCTGGTCCTGTAAATTCATGAAACTGTTCTCATGCTCAAGCATAGATTCTGTGCTTAAATTAAACTTCCTTTTTTGTAACTCACTTAAAGCATGTGATGTAATCAAAATGTCAATTGTAAATTATCTAAAACAGTAGTTGGCTTGAAAGCTCTCCAAAAATCTCTCAAATCTCAGAAAAACATAATCTGAGTTTGAGCGTGAGAATGCATGCCCCCAGCATGGTTTCTGGAATAATTGGCCATTGTACCGGTGCAGCTAGTCTGTAAGAGGCTGCAGATGTGAGCCGATAATTAGGCAGAATTGGGTGATATTGCCGGAGGAAGGACGATATTAATAGGTTACGCTAGTATATGGAAATCATACAATATCGTCACTTGGAAATATATATACAATATGATTGAAATTATCTTCAATTTTCCAGGGAACACTGTTGGAAATTCAACTGATGAAGCACAAGTTGATGTTAATGCAAAATAGCAATTAAACGTTGAAAGTTTTCTTTTTTGGTGACATGATATGGTAACAGAATGATGATATATTTGTGTCTTTAAACAACTTCTTTTCAGTAACCAAAAGGCCTAGGATGATGATATTTGGCCAGTAGCATGCTGGAATGAAGGGCTTCCAAGTTTGTTCAAATTAATGACCTTCATCCTTTTTCAAGGTCACAGGGTTCAAATATGTTAAAATCTTTGACCAACTTCTTCTGAAGAACCAAGAGGCCTATGGTGGTGATATTTGGCCAGTGACATGCTGGGATGAAGATCTACCAAGTTTGTTCAAACAAATGACCTTCTCCAATTTTCAAGGTCACAGGGCTCAAATATGTTTAAAACCTTTAAAACAACTTCTTCTCAATAACCAAACAGCCTTGGATGATGATAATTGGCCAGTATCATGCTTGGATGAAGGGCTACTAATTGTTTTCAAACAAATCACCTTCACCTGTTTTCAAGGTCACATGGGTCAAATATGTTAAAATCTTTGAACGACTTCTTCTGAATAACAAAAAGGCATAGGGTGATGATATTTGGCATGTAGCATGATGGGATGAAGGGCTACCAAGTTTGTTCAACCAAATAACCTTCAACCATTTTCAAGGTCACAGGGGTCAAATATGTTAAAATCTTTGAACGACTTCTTCTGAATAACAAAAAGGCATAGGGTGATGATATTTGGCATGTAGCATGCTGGGATGAAGGGCTACCAAGTTTGTTCAACCAAATAACCTTCAACCATTTTCAAGGTCACAGGGGTCAAATATGTTAAAATCTTTGAACGACTTCTTCTGAATTACAAAAAGGCCTAGGGTGATGATATTTGGCATGTAGCATGCTGGGATGAAGGGCTACCAAGTTTGTTCAAACAAATAACCTTCAACCATTTTCAAGGTCACAGGGGTCAAATATGTTTAAAACCTTTAAAACTACTTGTTCTCAATAACCAAGAGGCTGAGGGTTATAATATTTGGCCTATAGCATGAAGCGCTACCAAATTTGTTAAAATGAATGACCTTGACAATTATTCAAGGGCACAAAGGTCAAATATGTTTAAAACCTTTAAACAACATCTTTTCAATAACCAAAATTCCTAGGATGATGCTGTTTGGCTAGTAGCATGCTAGGATGAAGGACTACTAAGTTTGTTGAAACGAATGACCTTGACATATATTAAAGGTCACAGGGGACAAATATGTTTAAAATCTTTAAACGACTTCTTCTCAATAAGCAAAAGGCTAAGGGAGATGATATTTGGCCATTAACATGCTGGGATTAAGGACTACCAGTTTTTTTCAAATGAACGACCTTCGCCCATATTCAAGGTCACAGTGGTCTATATATGTTTAAATCTTTAAATGACTTGTTTTGTATAACCAAAAGATCCAGGGTAATGATATTTTGCATGAAGCATGCTTGGTTGGACGACTATAAACTCTGTTCAACCTTATGTCCTTGTTCGACATTCAAGGTCACAGGTCAAGGTTAAGATTATTTGTGAGATAAATACCAGGTGAGCCATTCAGGCCCATTGGCCCTCTTGTCATTGTTGCAAAATGACTTGGAAAGAGTTATTTTTTATAGTGGCAATGCCATGCAGATGTACTTAACAAATATATACTTGCTGTACCTTCGGTGACATGTCATAATTACACATGTCTGCAATACTTACAAATCACAGGGATTGTTTGTCTTATGATTAGTATACCAGAGAATTTAAAGAATAAGTTTTAGTTCACTTCATTACTTAGCCATTACAATTATTGTTCACATCAACTTAAATACAGACTATCAGCTTCTCTAGATGTTCATCGTAATATATATACTGTGTTCCTTATCCCATTTAAGGATCCCCGTACCACTGCCAAAAACTGCAACTATGCATCAGAAACCGTATTTTTGCTGACATGACTATACATGTAGCTTTCTTAGCTCATTTCTGAAAAGAAAATCCTACCTTGCAGGACTTTCATAAAAAATGATAAAGATCAAATATACCAAACATAATAACCAACAGTGTTGTAGACCAGGATTTGGACCCTGGACTTCAGATTGGTTTACATGTGGCTCTTACCAGCTGAGTACCCGGTCAATAGAAGTGTTCTCAAGGGCCAACTGTGCTACAGTTATAATATATCCAAAACCAAAGTAACGGAAAGTTACTCAGTATTTCCCGAAAACCAAAGTGCAGTGGGACAGGGATCCTGAAGTTTATATAGCTCTGGTGTCACATGTATCTTATCTTCTGTATAACTAACAGACTACTTCCTATAGTTTTGCTTACCATATCTTTTACAGTTGAGGAACCATCGAGGGTCTCTAATGCCTATCAGCTGTAACATAGCCAGCAACTCAAAGTCTGTGTAAGTACATGTGTTTATACTTCTTAACTCTATATAATGGTTATAATTGTGAAAACAAAAAACAAAGGCTTAATACAATCACTTTTATACATTTAAGCAAGCAATACAAAAACGTCAACATTTTATTGTTCATGTTTATGATTTATAACCGCCTTAAACTGTTTACCTCTGCTCGCTCATCGTCAAAGATTGCCCTTGCTGTAACAGTACCACCTTTACTGGTATCATGATTTTACAGAAATATCACAAAGTTCCATTGTTCATTTTGGGGCAGTAAGCCCGAATCATCTCCTGACTATTGTAGTGTTTTACAATTTACGATAAAGTGGTTTACTAAAACTGTAAAACTTGTTCATGTTGATAGGAAGGTAAGCTTTATTAACGCATCTATGTAGTGTATGTTGTTCACCCTCATAATACTAACTTATATTTCTCTATATTACAGGCCCTATTCATTAGAGGTTGTACAGAAATATCAAAATGGTAAGTTTGTAATCATGAGCCGAAAGTGTGACTTACGCTGTGTTTATGTTGCTAGTAATGAACATGGTGTCAGCATGGCACTTCATCAACATCGTCACACGTATGTCTCTAGATGATCTGAAAGTCAATTCTATGTAAAAGGAGACCAGTAACTCTGGAAATTCTAGAATTGTTGATCTCCGGATATTACAATCACCTTTTAATTAGGTGGACATTTTAAGAACCAGATGTTGACCCAGGTACTGAACTCTTACACTTCTATAGACATATTTTCAGTGAATCCACACGACTTGTGTAATGATCATTAATATTTCATAGTTTTAAAACTATTTTATTTCAAGTTTGAAAAAAAATCAAATATACAGTATTGAACCTGTTATTTATCTTGACATCAGTGTCAAATGTAGGGTGTATGGATGGTATCTGTTCTTGGCTGAATGTTGATATTTTGCTTACTTGGCATGAAACCTCGATAAAATTATGTGATGACATCTGTCTGTTCAAAGTCTTCAATATTAACAACCAAAAGGCCTAGGGTCATGATATTTTGCATGTAGTTTGTTGAGATAAAGGGTTACAACCTTGACCCATATTCAAGGTAAGAGTGGTCAAATGTGTTAAAATTTTCAAAATACTTCTTCTAAATAATCACAAGTCTAGAGTTAAAACATTTTGCCTGATCTTGTCCAAATATATAATCTTGATCTTCATTCAAGATGACAGCGGTCAAATGTGTGAAAATCTTCAAACAGCTTCTAAAACCCCCTGATATTTTTCATATAGCTTACTTGGCTGAAGGGCTATCAAATTTATTCCAAGTAAATGACCTTTATCCTCTTCTATGTTGCATTATAAGAATGAAGGAGAGAAACAATCGCCCATTGTCACACTTACTATGGTATAACATGGGAAACCTTGAATACACCCAACCCTTTCTGTATACCTAATTACACCATGACAGGAGAAACAGCAGTTAATTTCCTCTTACCCACTTATATTTAACACACTCCGGAATAAATCACTGCTACAATGAATTAAAGATGCTTTTCGGTAACCAAGACTGTATTGAGTAAGCTAGATCCAGGTAATTGTTTTGGAATGTGTTTGAGGTGGTTGAAGGTTCCTTGGAGTTATTCTCTGTTTCTGATAGTGGTATTGTTTTGGAGTGTGTTTGAGGTGGTTGGAGGTTCCTTGGAGTTATTCACTGTTTCTGATAGTGGTATTGTTTTGGTTCAGTTGTCAAGGTTAGTTGGCGTTTCATCATTTTAACCCAAGTTGGTTTCCAAATGAATGGATTATGATCAGGATCACACTCAGTTAAATAATTATTGTTAATTACTAGCAAGTTTAACTCATTCACCCCTGAAGATACATTTGAACCCTTCCAATTCAAAGGTTGGAATAGTTGATTGTGAAACTTCAGGGGTGAATGAGTTAAAGTAATTAACCACTTAACAATAGCTTAGCTGGTGTGTGTGTGTGTGTGGGCCGGGGGGGGGGGTCAGGTATAAGACTGCACAGAGCTATAGCTATAGTATTATGGGATACTACAGTTACAATGTTACTGTTTGTCTTACACAAATCTCTATGTCAGACTACAGAGATTTGTGTAAGAAAAACTGTGGTATCTCATAATGCAATGGCTATAGCAACAGAGATAGAGTAATACTGTCAGCAAGATTACTTTTCCAAGTGTCTCTATTTTACGGTCAAGCCTGGAAGTACAGTTATGTACACAGATCTAAATAAAGGGAAAACCCTCTAGCCAGGTCAGTAACAACCTGAACTAGATGGATTATAAAGTATGGTTTCAGCTTCTTCTCATAAAATGATCCGCTTCCTACCAATGAAATAGAGATATGTTATTATTATCCAATTATAATAGCATCCATCATTTTGTTTACAACATGGCAGGTTTACTATCCAAGCAGTTATGCTTAATTTATATTGTGTAATGCTGACAGAGAGAATGTTCTAGCTGTCAGAGTGTTTGGTACAATGTAGCAGAGGAGCAAAAACCATACTAGATATACTGTAAAGGTCATGACCTTTGGAGGCACTGCCAAGTGATAGGTGTTTTCCCTGATATGTTAGAACCTAAACATGGTCTGCTGTTACCTATACGCTCTACACAACCAGGAGAGTGCCGTCTGGTTACATGCTGAGAAACACAATTAAAAGGTCATAATGGTTGATTCCTATAATTTGATCATTGTTTGATGCTGTAAGAATACTATCTGTTTAGTGTAGACTAGATAGTGCTTTGCTGTGTCAGAGTTGGTGGTCGACTGGTAATAGCATGGGAGTTATATCTGTACACAACTTTGTTCTTGTAGTTTGTTAACATCAACAGCGCAAGCCTCCTGACCTCCCGTACATATATACCTGGTATTTATTTAAAAGGCCTCTATAAGCTGAAATTGCCCATAAGTTCTTCCTAATTTTCCTACAAGTACCAGACAACCTCCTTTTCTGATGATATATCTTCAGACAAACTTCAAACTGTCTGATATTGATTTGTAGTGATGGAGATATTTGTAGCAATAATATTTGAAGGTTATGGAAAGTGATTTTCCCAAACATTTGATTGTAGATTATTTATTACAGTACAGCCTGATAAACATGAAATTGAATGGCTCAACTTGACCAGATAAAACCTGTTTTTCATTACACCCAAATAACGAAAAGAAAATGCCTGAATCAGGTGAGCGATACCGTCCCATTAGACCTTTTGTTGACAAAAATAAAGCAACAGTACACATATCCAGGTGATGTTTACATTATTGTCATTCAATCAATCAGAAATGAGACCTTTTTAAAAAAATATTCGTCCGTATTGTTTTTCAGGCAATACATCAGCTAAAAATTCAACTAGGTATACATTTGTACTTCGTAGGTAAAATGAAAACACTTATTTCTTATTTTATTCATAATTTTGTAATCCTGAAATGCTCAATTTCAATATCAGTTTTGATGTGATATGTTATTAAAAAAACTTTATGTAAGAAAACAATGAACAATAGATATCAGGTATATATATTTTCTCTGAATAAATTGGAAAATTAAGTTTAATTACTGTGTGTTTAGTGAAGTTAAGTCTCCTGTCTACAAATAATAAATAATAATAATATACAACATTTATATAGCGCCCTATATAATTTGTAAAATTACTCTAAAGCGCTTTTCAACATATGGATAATAGTAATGGTTATAATTGTGAAAACAAAAAAACAAAGGCTTACAATCACTTTTAAACATTTAAGCAAGCAATGTGCACATAATTGAACAAATAAAAGGGTGGAATTTACATGACGTCTTTGCAAAGATTCTAAAATGCAGACGTGAAGAGGTGAGTTTTGATGTCCCTCTTAAACTTGGCCAGGGTATTTGACTAATAGCAGTTGGTAAGCTATTCCACAACGTAGCCGAAACCCTCCCAAAGCATCTGTTTCCGTAGGTCACAGTACGAGATTTTGGGACACACAACAAAGATTCTGACTCCGACCGCAGTGATCTTGACGGCTGATACAGGGTAACAAGNATTTTCCTGTTTGCGTAGGGCACAAAGCCGTTTATTGGAAAGTAACATATTATGTTACACTGAAGTATTTCCACATCAACCAAGTCAAACCCTTCAAAACCTTTATTATCATCGTAGGTGACGATGGAGAATAAATGTTTACCATCATATTCATCGCTTCAATCTACACGTCCGCCATTTTTATGATGTTTTTTTTTATTTGAAATTCTCTCGCACACCTTTGGTTATTACTAGCGTACACTGCCGTGAATATCGAAAGTAATGACGAAACAACCAATCAGAAGCCTTCTACTATACACGTTCGGGTTTGGTATAGCAACAACCCGACTTCACACTTCCTGGCTACCGATCAAAACCTACAGACCGAGAAACGACATATACCGTGCGTAGCACTGACGGCCCGACTTTTCAAAACGGCATATGCCGTGCGTAGCAGCCTAAGGGTTTTAACATAGTAACAGGTAACAGGCAAGCAATGTCCAGATCATCTTGTGCATGGAGAACGTTTATATTGTCTGGCATACACATGCTGTTATTTGGCTGAAGCCAGCTTTATATCAGTGGACTATAGCTAGTGCCAAGTACACACTGTTATAGCACAGAATCAATTATAATGCCACCATGACACCAAGACTTTCCAACGATAATACGTTAAACAGAAATCTTCCCTAAAGTCCTCTACAGTGTTGTCTCTGAATGTGTTTAAATGACCGTTTTAGTATAAAACCATCTCTGTCTTATTTCTGTACTTGTGTAGTTGTTTTGATTTCCAATCAATAGTTCTACTCTTATTTCATGACACAGGATAATCAGGAAACGGTAGCTTTATATAACTGATTCTACTCCAGTTCTGATGACCATGTCACATGTTTAAAGTTGCGATTGGATGGATTTACTGTGTATTTTCTAACAGGATGTTTTCATTGCTTCTATTCCCCAGCATCAAAGTGGGTAATAGTGGATGGTACTCTAATACTCTGACAGATTTGCCATTTCTATCAGTCCGTTCAGTCTGTCAATATTACATCTTGGTTAGCCTTTGTTTTATAGCTTGTAAGTCCAATACTAAACCTCAATCAGTCATCAAACTCTGTATGTGGGTATACCTGAGTCCGTTCAGTCTGTCAATATTATATCTTGGTTAGCCTTTGTTTTATAGCTTGTAAGTCCAATACTAAACCTCAATCAGTCATCAAACTCTGTATGTTGGTATACATATATCTTAAGAAGTACCGGTACTGCACCGATATGTCGAAATATAGGTCACTGTGACCTATATTTTCTGGTTCACTGACGTGTACTTTACATTTAGCTTAATTTCTTTGATTAGTTTTTGCATTGTACAAGCAGGAGTAAGGGCATACATAGGTTTTACAAAGTTTTCTTGTTTTTTAATAGGATTTCTTAACTAATTGTACATCCTGCAAACAGAGTTTTTGGGGTTAGGTATGAATCAGCCTGATAAACTTAACTCTTCCTAAACTGATTGTTTGATTTTTTTTCGTTACTTGGCACAGAAAGACATCATAGTGTATAACATGAATTGGTTAGGGCCAATTATCTGCATTAACTCATTCACCCCTGAAATTTTTTAATAAACTATTCCAACCTTTGAATTAGAAGAATAAAAATGTGTCTTCAGGGGCGAATGAGTTAATGCGGGTGCCCTATAGTAATCATGGTGTCCGTCCGTCCGTCCATCCTTCCGTCAGCACTTTCGTTTCCTGAGATTATCTCATGATCCAGATAGCCGAAATGTCTGAAATTTCTCATGGTGATACACTGTGATGTGTAGATGTGCAATAGGGGTTTAAAAAGTTCCTAAGGTCAAGGTCACTGTTATTAAAAATAGGATTAGTAACAACAGGGGGATGGAGACCCAACGTCCCTGCAAGGAGGTCATTTCCATAGTGTCGGTAGGGAATCTGGGGTGGATACCGTAATGGTATTCAACAGTGCTCATCAGAGAAAGCAGAGCAAATGAAAATAGAAATGATGAGCAACAACACCACCGAATCCGGTACAGAATGTATTGTTTGATTTACATCCTACGTGCTGACATGTTTCAAAGGGAGGCCATCTTTAGAGCACAGTAACATGATGTTTACAACTATGGTACAATGAAAAAAGAATTGGAAATATACTGTCAAAAATACATCATATAATTAAGGCCCTACCAGTAGGCTGAACTTCCTGAAATTTCTTAGGATGATACATTGTTATCATACGCAGATGTGCAATAGCGGTTTAAAAAAATCCTAGGTCAAGGTCGCTGTTACTGAAAGTAGATCCAGGAATATACAGTCAAAAAGACATCAGATGAGGACCTAACAGAAGGCCAAACTTTCTGAAATTTCTTATGATGATACATTGTGATTATATGCAGATATGCAATAGTGGTTTAAAAAATTCCTAGGTCAAGGTCGCTGTTACTAAAAATAGATCTGGAATATACAGTCGAAAGGACATCAGATGAGGGCCTAACAGAAGGCCAAATTTTCTGAAATTATGCAGATATGCAAGTGTTTCAAAAATTCCTAGGTCAAGGTCGCTGTTACTTAAAATAGATCCGGGAATATAAAGTCAAAAAGACATCAGATGAGGACCTAACAGAAGGCCAAACTTTCTGAAATTTCTTATGATGATACATTGTGATTATATACAGATATGCAATAGTGTTTTAAAAAATTCCTAGGTCAAGGTCGCTGTTTTTCTTAAAATAGATCCGGGAATATACAGTCAAAAAGACATCAGATGAGGGCCTAACAGAAGGCCAAACTTTCTGAAATTACTTATGATAATACACTGTTATTTTATTTATGCAGATATTTCTCTTTACATCTGCTTGTCTTTTTTTCTCTTCACCGGTCTTTCTCTGTTACTTTCTTTTTCTTTCTGTGTCAGTGCTTCCTTTTCTTGTGTCTCTGTGTTTTTCATTCTTCATTGTTCTTGTTTTTTCTCTATATCAATTCACTAGAAATCTTTATATATACCATGTATATCAAATACCAATAGGTTGCATCATCTTACTGATGATTTATATCAAGCTTGATTATTAATATACATAAACCTTGTTTAGTATGAAAGATGTTTGATTGAATCAAATGAGCATGTAAACAAATATGTAAGACTATACTGTATTGAAAATAATACAAATATAAAAAAAAAAAAATGCAGATGTACAATAGTGGTTTAAAAAATTCCTCAGGTCAATGTCGCTGTTAATAAAAATAGAAAACATGAATATACTGTCAAAAATACATCACATAAGGCCCTTACAATACTTCTGTTTTATAACTGCAGTTTCCCCCAGGAAAGTATATATAAGGCCATATTATCAATATCCCTAAATCCAAAATGATCACTTTTGCTTTTACTTGGTGCTTATATGGGAGATATACACTGTCAGGCATACAGCGGGGCCCTTGCTGACCTGTCAGTATTCTAGTTTCTCAAAAGATTGAGATTGAATTTGAGTATCACTTCCATTTTTAGCTGCAGAGTTCTGTTTAATACATGTGTGTTTGTTTATAAGTGCTGCAATGTTTGAAAACTTCTAGAAATTTTAGAAATTATTGTCATTGATCATTTGTCTGAATTAGAAGCAGTTACAGTGGTCTTGACGTAGCCGACCATTGTAACTGACTGACGGAAAGCATAGTTACGTAAAAATGCTATTTGACATTGCCACTGATCTTTTAGTCATGAAACTGGTGTTGTCAGCACATTTCTGTAGTTGCAATTATATGATTATGTTTCTTTCTAGTCAAGCCAAAAGCCAGAAGTGTAAAACGGGACCGTTACCATGAAACAATGAAGAAGAAGATCGTTGAGCTACTTGATAGGGTAGGTATCTACCATACTAACCCTGGATAGGGTAGGTATATATATATACATCAAGGGGACTGTTATATCTACCATACTAACCCTGGATAGGGTAGGTATATATATACATCAAGGGGACTGTTATATCTACTATACTAACCCTGGATAGGGTAGGTATCTATATATACATCAAGGGGACTGTTATATCTACTATACTAACCCTGGATAGGGTAGGTATATATATACATCAAGGGGACTGTTATATCTACCATACTAACCCTGGATAGGGTAGGTATATATATATACATCAAGGGGACTGTTATATCTACTATATTAACCCTGGATAGGGTAAGTATATATATACATCAAGGGGACTGTTATATCTACCATACTAACCCTGGATAGGGTAGGTATATATATACATCAAGGGGACTGTTATATCTACTATATTAACCCTGGATAGGGTAAGTATATATATACATCAAGGGGACTATTATATCTACTATACTAACCCTGGATAGGGTATGTATATATATACATCAAGGGGACTGTTATATCTACCATACTAACCCTGGATAGGGTAGGTATATATATACATCAAGGGGACTGTTATATCTACTATATTAACCCTGGATAGGGTAAGTATATATATACATCAAGGGGACTATTATATCTACTATACTAACCCTGGATAGGGTAGGTATATATATACATCAAGGGGACTGTTATATCTACTATACTAACCCTGGATAGGGTAGGTATATATACATCAAGGGGACTGTTATGTCTACCATACTAACCCTGGATAGGGTAGGTATCTATACATCAAGGGGACTGTTATATCTACCATACTAACCCTGGATAGGGTAGGTATATATTTATACATCAAGGGGACTGTTATATCTACTATATTAACCCTGGATAGGGTAGGTATATATATATACATCAAGGGGACTGTTATATCTACCAATCAACATGTATAACTAACCCTGGATAGGTAGGTATCTACACATCAAGGGGACTGTTATGTCTACCAATCAACATGTATAACTAACCCTGGATAGGGTAGGTATATATACATCAAGGGGACTGTTATGTCTACCATACTAACCCTGGATAGGGTAGGTATCTATACATCAAGGGGACTGTTATGACTACCAATCAACATGTATAACTATCCCTGGATAGGGTAGGTATCTACACATCAAGGGGACTGTTGTATCTACCAATCAGCATGTATATACACATCAAGGGGACTGTTATATCTACCAATCAACATGTATAACTAACCCTGGATAGGGTAGGTATCTACCAATCAACATGTATGTCCATAGCAGAAGTAGAAATATGTATTGTTATTCTTCTTTGGATAAGTAACCATATGGCTCTATGTGGGAGGTACAGTTTGTCAGGGGAGGTAGTTAGCCTAGAGTAGAGGTACAGTTTGTCAGGGGAGGTAATTAGGCTAGAGTAGAGGTACAGTTTGTCAGGGGAGGTACTTTGGCTAGAGCAGAGGTACAGTTTGTCAGGGGAGGTAACTAGACTAGAGTAAAGGTACAGTTTGTCAGGGGAGGTAATTATACTAGAGTAGAGGTACAGTTTGTCAGGGGAGGTAATTAGGCTAGAGCAGAGGTACAGTTTGTCAGGGGAGGTAATTAGGCTAGAGTAGAGGTACAGTTTGACAGGGGAGGTAATTAGGCTAGAGTAGAGGTACAGATTGTCAGGGGAGGTAATTAGGCTAGAGTAAAGGTACAGTTTGTCAGGGGAGTTAATTAGGCTAGAGCAGAGGTACAGTTGTTCAGTGGAAGAGTAGAGGTACAATTTGTCAGGGGAGGTAATTAGACTAGAGTAACGGTACAGTTTGTCAGGGGAGGTAGTTAGCCTAGAGTAGAGGTACAGTTTGTCAGGGAAGGTAATTAGGCTAAAGTAGAAATACAGTTCTTCGGAGGAGGTAATTAGTCTAGAGTAGAGGTACAGTTTGACAGGGGAGGCAATTAGGCTAGAGTAGAGGAACAGTGCATCAGGGGAGGTAACTAGGCTAAAGTAGAAATACAGTTCTTCGGAGGAGGTAATTAGTCTAGAGTAGAGGTACAGTTTGCCAGGGGAGGTAATTAGGCTAGAGCAGAGGTACAGTTGTTCAGTGGAAGAGTAGAGGTACAGTTTGCCAGGGGAGGTAATTAGGCTAAAGTAGAAATACAGTTCTTCGGAGGAGGTAATTAGTCTAGAGTAGAGGTACAGTTTGCCAGGGGAGGTAATTAGGCTAAAGTAGAAATACAGTTCTTCAGAGGAGGTAATTAGTCTAGAGTAGAGGTACAGTTGTTAGGGGACGTAATTAGGCTAGAGTAGAGGGACAGATTGTCAGGGGAGGGAATTAGACTAGAGTAAAGGTACAGTTTGACAGGGGAGGCAATTAGGCTAGAGTAGAGGAACAGTGCATCAGGGGAGGTAACTAGGCTAAAGTAGAAATACAGTTCTTCAGAGGAGGTAATCAGTCTAGAGTAGAGGTACAGTTGGACAGGGGAGGTAATTAGGCCAGAGTAGAGGTACAGATTGTCAGGGGAGGTAATTATACTAGAGTAGAGGTACAGTTTGACAGGGGAGGTAATTAGGCTAGAGTAAAGGTACAGTGCATCAGGGGAGGTAATTAGGCTAAAGTAGAAATACAGTTCTTCAGAGGAGGTAATTAGTCTAGAGTAGAGGTACAGTTTGTCAGGGGAGGTAATTAGGCTAGAGCAGAGGTACAGTTTGTCAGGGGAGGTAATTAGGCTAGAGTAAAGGTACAGTTTGTCAGGGGAAGTAATTAGGCTAGAGTAAAGGTACAGTTTGTCAGGGTAGGTAATTAGGCCAGAGTAGAGGTACAGATTGTCAGGGGAGGTAATTAGGTGAGAGTAGAGGTACAGTTTGTCAGGGGAGGTAATAAAGCTAGAGCAGAGGTACAGTTGTTCAGTGGAAGAGTAGAGGTACAGTTTGTCAGGGTAGGTAATTAGGCTAGAGCAGAGGTACAGTGCGTCAGGGAAGGTAATCAGGCTAAATAGAAATACAGTTCTTCATGGGAGGTAATAAGGCTAGAGTAGAGGTACAGTGCATCAGGGGAGGTAATTAGGCTAAAGTAGAAATACAGTTTTTCAGAGGAGGTAATTAGTCTAGAGTAGAGGTACAGTGCGTCAGGGAAGGTAATTAGGCTAGAGTAGAGGTACAGTGCATCAGGGGAGGTAATTAGGCTAAAGAAGAGGAACAGTTTGTCAGGGGAGGTAATTAGGCTAGAGTATGAAATCTCATTTGGTTGCTTGATCATCACAATTTGTCAAACAGATACATACACAATGTAGCAGAAGTAAATAGGTATTATAAAGGATGGGTCTGTTTTATGTTGATCTTTCTTATCAGGTAGGTTCAAAGTTTGCTTCATGAAAATTTATCTTATTTCTTTAACAACAATAAGAATTCGTTATTTTTTTTTTTTTAAATGTATTTCGTCATTTTGTGTTGTATTATAAATACAACTTTGTCAAAATTAATTAAAAGCTAGATTTTGTGAGTGATGCAAGCGCTTCACAATATATCTCTTAATAAATTGTAAATCAATGTCTTTACCTAAACAATGTAACAAAGTATTTGAATTTTTCAAAAAGTAGCAAAATGAATAAACTTAATGTTATTGCAAGCAAAGTTGGCTGGGTGGGGAGTGGGGGACAAGGCACAGACAGGAGAAATGAAAAATATACATATATAAGCATAGTTTGCCAAGAAGTAACATGATGATGATGTAGCATTCTAAAACACCTATATGACTTGCCCTGTAGTTAGCCTTCAACACTGGTATATGTCAGTGTCCATAGTTCTGGAATTGGAACGGTCCAGTTAGACATCGCTACACTTACATATACCCAATACTGACTGAAAAACATCGGTCAGAATCAGGTAAGGAGCTGTAGTTTGATGAGATGGGTGATCTACAACAAGCTACTGGTCAGTGTGTCAGAGCTGATATTTTAGTCTTATAAATTACCTTTCTTTTTGTGGAGGTTACATACATACTGCAATAATTTGATGGTCAGTCTGTCAAGATAATCTTTTTATGGTCAATTGCTCTACCTTTGGTTGAGATCAAACTTTGATTTGTGTATTTCTTCTGGTTGTGGTTATGCTTTGATGTATGACAAACTGAAGGTTATGAAATATTCAGAATTTGTAAGCTCCAAAATTGCTGATAATATTCACTCATATATGTTTGTTCGTAACTGCCTACCGACCCAGAGAATTAATTCCAGCTAAAGTGACACCCTTAATCTTCCCCCCTTTTACTTGAAAAGTAAATGTTCACCAAATTTGTAATATCATTGATAGATGCTTAACATACAATAATAATTATTGAATTCCATTGTTTTTTCTGTCCTGATGTTTACACAGATAGAGAAGTTGGAAAATGCCTCACCTGAACTGAAACAGCGACAGAACAAGATTATCACAATGGTAGGTAACAACTGTTTAGCTAAATAAAGATCCCTGTCTTACTACAGTGGTCAAAGTGTCTAGCTCTATGATCGCTAGACCTCCACCACGTGGTAAATAAAGATCCCTGTCCCACTGCAGTGGTCAAAGTGTCTAGCTATATGATCCCTAGACCTCCACCACGGGGTAAATAAAGATCCCTGTCCCACTACAGTGGTCAAAGTGTCTAGCTCTATGATCACTAGACCTCCACCAAGGGGTAAATAAAGATCCCTGTCTCACTGCAGTGGTCAAAGTGTCTAGCTCTATGATCACTAGACCTCCACCACGGGGTAAATAAAGATCCCTGTCCCACTACAGTGGTCAAAGTGTCTAGCTCTATGATCACTAGACCTCCACCACGGGGTAAATAAAGATCCCTGTCCCACTACAGTGGTCAAAGTGTCTAGCTCTATGATCACTAGACCTCCACCACGGGGTAAATAAAGATCCCTGTCCCACTACAGTGGTCAAAGTGTCTAGCTCTATGATCACTAGACCTCCACCACGGGGTAAATAAAGATCCCTGTCCCACTACAGTGGTCAAAGTGTCTAGCTCTATGATCACTAGACCTCCACCACGGGGTAAATAAAGATCCCTGTCCCACTACAGTGGTCAAAGTGTCTAGCTCTATGATCACTAGACCTCCACCACGGGGTAAATAAAGATCCCTGTCCCACTACAGTGGTCAAAGTGTCTAGCTCTATGATCACTAGACCTCCACCACGGGGTAAATAAAGATCCCTGTCCCACTACAGTGGTCAAAGTGTCTAGCTCTATGATCACTAGACCTCCACCACGGGGTAAATAAAGATCCCTGTCCCACTACAGTGGTCAAAGTGTCTAGCTCTATGATCACTAGACCTCCACCACGGGGTAAATAAAGATCCCTGTCCCACTACAGTGGTCAAAGTGTCTAGCTCTATGATCACTAGACCTCCACCACGGGGTAAATAAAGATCCCTGTCCCACTACAGTGGTCAAAGTGTCTAGCTCTATGATCACTAGACCTCCACCACGGGGTAAATAAAGATCCCTGTCCCACTACAGTGGTCAAAGTGTCTAGCTCTATGATCACTAGACCTCCACCACGGGGTAAATAAAGATCCCTGTCCCACTGCAGTGGTCAAAGTGTCTAGCTCTATGATCCCTAGACCTCCACCTAGGGGTAAATAAAGATCTTTGTCTCACTGCAGTGGTCAAAGTGTCCAGCTATATGATCGCTAGACCTCCACCACAAGGTAAATAAAGATCTTTGTCTCAATGCAGTGGTCAAAGTGTCTGGCTATATGATCGCTAGACCTCCACCACGAGGTAAATAAAGATCCCTGTCCCACTGCAGTGGTCAAAGTGTCCAGCTATATGATCGCTAGACCTCCACCACAAGGTAAATAAAGATCTTTGTCTCAATGCAGTGGTCAAAGTGTCTGGCTATATGATCGCTAGACCTCCACCACGAGGTAAATAAAGATCCCTGTCCCACTGCAGTGGTCAAAGTGTCCAGCTATATGATCGCTAGACCTCCACCACGGGGTAAATCAAGATTTTTGTCTCACTGCAGTGGTAAAAGTGTCTGGCTATGATCCTTAGACCTCTGGTTATTCAGTTTTCTTCCACCACAGAAACCAGAACAACAGTCTTTTTATTGGAAGGTCCAGGGTTCGAATCTATGTCTTGCTGCATTGCATTTTTACCCTCAGAACACTCTTATTGTTAATTTCATCTATAAATATTTTTTACTGTCTTCACTGTCTCCTTGTGTTGGGTTACAGATTACACTAACTGTTATACTGTAACAGTATCAATGTCTCCTTGTGTTTGGTTACAGATTTCACTAACTGTTATACTGTAACAGTTTCACTGTCTCCTTGTGTTTGGTTACAGATTACACCAACTGTTATACTGTAACAGTGTCATTGTCTCCTTGTGTTTGGTTACAGATTACACTAACTGTTATACTGTAACAGTTTCACTGTCTCCTTGTGTTTGGTTACATATTACACTAACTGTTATACTGTAACAGTATCACTCTCTCCTTGTGTTTGATTACAGATTACACTAACTGTTATACTGTAACAGTATCATTGTCTCCTTGTGTTTGGTTACAAGTTACACTAACTGTTTTACTGTAACAGTATCACTGTCTCCTTGTGTTTGGTTACATATTACACTAACTGTTATACTGTAACAGTATTAATGTCTCCTTGTGTTTGGTTACAGATTACACGAACTGTTATACTGTAACAGTATCAATGTCTCCTTGTGTTTGGTTCCATATTACACTCACTGTTATACTGTAACAGTATCACTCTCTCCTTGTGTTTGATTACAGATTACACTAACTGTTATACTGTAACAGTATTAATGTCTCCTTGTGTTTGGTTACATATTACACTAACTGTTATACTGTAACAGTATCAATGTCTCCTTGTGTTTGGTTACATATTACACTAACTGTTAAACTGTAACAGTATCACTGTCTTCTTGTGTTTGGTTACAGATTACACTAACTGTTATACTGTAACAGTATCATTGTCTCCTTGTGTTTGGTTACAGATTACACTAACTGTTATACTGTAACAGTATCACTGTCTCCTTGTGTTTGGTTACATATTACACTAACTGTTATACTGTAACAGTATCATTGTCTCCTTGTGTTTGGTTACAAGTTACACTAACTGTTTTACTGTAACAGTATCACTGTCTCCTTGTGTTTGGTTACAGATTACACTAACTGTTTTACTGTAACAGTATCACTGTCAGACTTCATTTTCAGATAATGTAACATATTTATATTTATCTGATCAATGAAAACATCAAATTATTCAAATATAAAGTATTTTGTAATCATTATGTATGTAGTGAGAAAAGGATTTCACCCAGCCAAGTTTTATTCAACCAGATTTCATTGTACATGTATTTGATAAATGACAGCAGAAACAGACAACTTGTATATTATAACAAGCCAGTCCCCTAGACCTGGAGGTTTACCTGTATGCATAAGTACATATAAAGCTGTCTGTTACATATTGACAGTATAGTTTACAAACATTAACAATACAGGCATGCAGAGATTATATTTTACATGTGGGACAAAGTTGATATACATTTGGCACTTTTCTCTCCCAAATAATTTCCATTCAACCACTGCCAACTAATACAAGGGTCCCGATATAAAACTACCCTTCCATCACAGCTTCAAAGCATGTACGGTAGATACCCCAACAAGTTTGAGAGTTTTAAATTTACATACAATTATAACAGGAGAAAAAGGAGAGTTCCGCTACACAATCACAAAAATATTTTCTTAAACGTGTAATTGTGAATGATAAAACAGAGATGTTTTTTACCATTATTCAATTAGAACTCATAGTTAATGGGGGTTTTCTGTAACTTTAAACAGTGATTGTGGTCTTTTTTGAATCAATGACATTTGCCACATCAGAATTTATCTAAAGGATTTCTAATCTTATATTGTAATAAATCACATTTACTACAGATAGAAAATGACAGATCTTGGCTTGTAAAAAAATAATTGATACCTGGTGGGATTTAATTGGAGGTCAGGGTCCTATGTTGAACTTGTACATGTGTGAACAGGAAGGGTCAAGTGTACCTGAAATAGAATTCTCTTGTTTGAATTGTCATGTGTCCTTACAAATTGTGATTGGCTGTTTGCCAAATATGGTTGCGCCTAAGAAGAAGAAATATCCTTCCTATTTACAAATAATGTCCTTTTTCCCCCTCTAATACCAAATACTAAAAATAATGTAATTTGTTATAGAAATGGCATACTTTTCATATTAAAGTGATATTTCCAAGTCAAATTTTGTTAAAATTTAATACATAACTTAATTAATTTGAGTAAATTATCTAAATAATTAATCTAAATTTATCAGAAACACAGGTAAATTTCATGCAACATTTGCTTATATCCTGTTCTAAGTTAGGTGTGTTAGGTGTGTCATAGTTTGAACTTTAATTTAAATTGACCAGTATGCCCTGACTGGCAATGTGTACATTCATTTGATCAGGAACTCATGTGTACGTGCCGATTTGGTTGTCAGCGATTTCAGCTGATCAGAATAATCGTTACATTTTATCTAGATGGACTTCCCACCTGTATGACTGTACAAGTGCTTTTATGCAAAGTACAAGATACAAGAAATTTTATTTAAAGTAGCTTACAGGTAGACAAGGAACATTAGCCCCTGAGAGCTATTACTGCATCTGTCAGTTGTCCGTCTGTCAACTGTTTCTTTTGAATGACTTCTTCTGAAGAACTGTAGGACATAGGGTCATGATATTTGGCCAGTAGGTACCTGGAATGGAGTGCTATAAAGTTTCCTCATTTAAATGACCTTGACCTACTCTCAAGGTCACAGCGGTCAAATATGTTAAAAACTTCAAACAACAATAGCCTAAGAACCATTTGGACTAGAGTCATGATACATGGGTATGTTATGCAGACCAGCGGTGTGAATCGTTTTCTTTATTACAGTAATGAGGTCAAAAGTCAACTTAAAGTGCTAGTCGAGGTCAAAAGTCAACTTAAAGTGATAGTCGGGGTCAAATGTCAACATGGGTTTAAAGCTTTAATAATCTTCTTCTCAAGTTCCATAAGGCCCAGGGTCATGATATTTGGCCAGTAGGTACCTGGGATGAAGTGCTATAAAGTTTCCGCATTAAAATGACTTCGACCTACTTTCAAGGTCACAGCGGTCAAATATTTTAAAAACTTCAAACAACAATATCCTAAGTACCATTTGGACTAGAGTCATGATACTTGAGTATGTTATATAGACCAGCAGTGCGAATCGTTATCTATATTACAGTAAAGAGGTCAAAGATCAACTTTAGGTGCTAGTCTGAGGTCAAATGACAATGTGGGTTAAAAGCTTTAAAATTAAAATTTCAAATTTCATACAACAGCGTTTAAGAGATGTTAAAATGTCTTGTGTTTAAGTTACCAAATTTGGTC